CAAACTAGAGAAAAAAAAGCTGGTCTTCGACCTGGACGTGGTTGTATAGACCAAATATTCACACTACGTCAGATCTTAGAACATAGACACACATTCAGACGCCCCACAATCGTAGTATTTCTCGACCTTAAGGCGGCATTTGACTCTGTTGATCGTGAGGTTCTATGGCAGTGTTTGTCACTGAAAGGAGTACCAAAGAAGTACATTAACCTTATAAAGGCTTTCTACTCGAACACAACTGGTCGAGTGAGGGCTCATGGCAAACCCAACTGGCTTATTAGTGGTTTTAGTAGCCTGCAACTACCTGAGACCAATAGAAAAAAGGCATTTCTGAGAGACAGGGATCTGTGAGGTAAGGTGAGATGTAGCATTTTCAAAGAACCTTTCCTAATTCCTTCCTTCTGTTGAGAAGACAGCATCGATCTAGATGCTTATAATCTAAGGGAATTACTTTGTACTGTCATCACATTGCCGTACAGCTGATAGTACGACGTCGCCCTTGAACATCAATTTGCTTTTAGTTTTACGACCCTTTAAATAGTGACTTCTTTGATGTAAGATCTAGTGTTGTAGTTATTGAGACAAAATGTTTAGACAAGGACATTGAAAAACAAGACACGTAGCAGGAAGCGGTTTTAAGATACTATTTATGTCATCATGTAGGCCAAAATTATCCCCAATGGTTGGACACTTAAGTCAGTCAGTAACAACGTGGAACTTCGTACGTTCGTACATCAGTTCGAGTTGCCATACCACATTAGCACAGAGATTCAGTTATCGATTCAAATCCCATAGTGGTAGAGGTACTGAAAGTATAAGTAGAGATAGGGGACATTAAGGTTTGATGATGTTATTAAAGGAGTATAGTCCAGTGGAATAAATTGGGAAAGAAAATAAAGGACATGAAGAATTCAGAAGATTAGAGTTTGAGAGAACACAAAGAGTGGATGCACCTGCGCCATTGCAAACGATTTCGAGCCATGTCATTCAAGGTCTCTAACCATCGGTTGCTATCGTCTCGCGGTCCCCAACCAGGTAGTATACACCTACCAACATGGCTCAGTCCACTTGTCAGTGACTTCATGGATTTGTGCCATGTTTTGGTCTGGCCGCCCCTAGCCTTCTTCCAACTTACTCCTACACCATAAAACATCGCACGTCGGTGGTCGGGCATGCGCAGCACATGTCCCAGCCATCTCAACTGACTAAGTTTCACTACTTCATCAATTGATTTGCCATCCTTACCTAGTACCCGTTTCCTAACAACTGAGTTACTTACTCGGTGGTCCCAGGATATACGAGCAATGTTTCGAAGACATCTATGATCAAATACTAGTAACCTACGAATATCCTCTACTCTTATCGGCCATGTTTCACTGCCATAAAGTAGGACGGAACGAACTGCTGCGCAGTAAACACGTCCTTTGGTTGATAGACGGATATCTCGCCTACGCCACAAATGACGCAAGTTGGCAAAAGCTAGTCGAGCCTTTTGTATCCGTGCTGAGATTTCGTCACACACCAAACCACAAGGGCTGATGAGACTTCCGAGATAAGTGAAGCGGTCGACACGCTCAACTACTTCACTCCCTATCACTAGTCCGGGTGTCGACGCAACCCAATCCTGAAGTAACATTTTGCATTTTGATGGAGAAAATCGCATGCCGAACAGGCTTGCATTGTTGCTTAGAGTGGTCAACAGACTCTGCATTCTGTCAGCGTCTTCACCAAATAGAACTATGTCATCGGCATATTCTAAGTCAACAAGTGGATCTCCCGGTAGAAGTTCAACTCCTGGAAATTTAGATGAGTAAAGTGTCATCTCTAAAAGGACATCAACGACAAAGTTAAACAAGAATGGAGAGAGTGGACAGCCCTGACGAACACCACTTGAGGTAATCAATTCTGATGACAGTTCACCATAAGCTCTCACTCGACCAGTTGTGTTCGAGTAGAGAGCCTTTATAAGGTTGACGTACTTCTTTGGTACTCCCTTCAGTGACAAACATTGCCATAGAACCTCACGATCAACAGAGTCAAATGCCGCCTTAAGGTCGAGAAATACTACCATTGTGGGACGTCTGAATGTGTGTCTATGTTCTAGGACCTGACGTAATGTGAATATTTGATCAATGCAACCACGTCCAGGTCGAAAACCAGCCTGGTTTTCTCTAGTCTGCTCTTCACGAGCTTTGGTTAGACGTCGAAGTAATATTGAATCTAATATTTTAGACACTATATTAGTCAAACTAATTCCTCTGTGATTGTCACAGGACTTTTGTCCTTTCTTATAGACTGGTACAATCAGTGATTGAGACCAGTCAGATGGGATTACGTTCAGTTCCCAGATTCTACCTAAGACCTCAGTCAATCTCGCTGCTAATACTGGACCGCCATCCTTAAAAATCTCAGGGGTAAACCTGTCAGGGCCTGCTGCTCTCCCACGCTTCAGATTTCCTATAGCTTTTTCAACTTCATAAAGAGTCGGAGGACTTACATCAACTTGCCATCCAGGTCGACTGGGGATCGTGGGAAACCGAAGTGTGGCTGAAGGCCAGTTGAACTGATCCCTAAAGTGTTCTGCCCATCGATCCAATCTCCTGGATTGAGAATGAATAATATGTCCATCTTTCTCTGCGATGTTGTGTTCCTAATACCGGTTTCCTTAACAAGTCTGAACAGTTGCCTGCTGTCACCTATTGCTGCTGCCTTTTCCATCTCTCTTGCTTTCGCTACCCACCACTGTTCACGATCATTGCGTATGCTGACTCCGCTCTTCGTTATGTTCAGAGCCAGGTGGGATGAGTTTTCGAGCATCTATCAGTGCGGTAGATGCTGCTGAGATCCAGTGTTTCTCCCTAACCTTGTGGTTTACCGTACTTGCAGACATCACTGCTGTTTCTACAGCTTTTCGGATGTCATTCCATGTTGCTTCTGAGTGGGCATCACATACATGGCTGCCTAACTGTTTTTCTAGTTGTTTCTGAAATATACTCTTAGCTTGACTATCATTAAGTAGGACCCTAAGGGGTTTCCTTGCAGCATGTTTCCTACGTCCAGTAAGACGTAGACAAATACGCGCTCGCACTAGAACATGATCTGAGTCTAAGCATGTGCTCCAGAATGAGCGACAGTCTTCTATCGAGCCCCTCCATCGGTGGCTGATAGCGATGTGATCTATTTGGGTCCAGCGTTGAGACGAATTAGGGGTTCGCCATGTTAAAAGATATTTTTCCTTATGCTTAAAGTTAGTGTTTGCAAGAAACAGGCGGTTATCTGAGCATAGCTGCAACAGACGGTCGCCGTTATCTGTTCTTTGAGCCGCGACACCATAAGATCCACCCAGGTGTCTTTCCTTTTCGCTTAGTTTACCTACTTGAGCATTAAAGTCACCAGCCACTATTACTACATCTGAACGCCTAGCTTTTCGGAGAAGGTCGGAAAGCTTTCTGTAAAACTCATCTTTTACATCATCTGAGCTACAGTCAGTGGGAGAGTAGGCAGAGACGACGAAGAGGCAACGACGAGTGTCCCTATCTTTTCGAATCCTTACTGTCCCGTTTAGTCGGGCAGCACACAAACGACTGTCTACTGGGATCCAGTCTAAGAGAGCTAGTTCTGCCCTAGGACTCAATGCTATACCTACGCCAGCGAGGCCACGGGATGCAGCATCAGGGCTTCCAGATACACGAAGCGTAAATCGAGTTGGTTCGTTACTTTGACATGGTGCAGTCAAATGAATGACACTACTAGGATCCTGTATGCGCGTTTCGGAGACGCAGCACACATCGATGGAGCGAGATTCTAAATTCCTAGCTAAGCAAGCCTGTTGTCCTATTTGGCACAGTGTTCGAACGTTGAAAGCTCCTACGTGTAGTTTGGAGCGTGGTTTCAGGAGACCAGGAATAACATTCTGCGTACTCGAATCGTTCGCACTAGCGGGGCGAGGTGATAAAGGGACGTGAGAAGGGTTAGTCGTGGAGATAAGAGAGTTATTAGGAGGTGTAGGAAGGATTTGAATGTGACCAACTTGGTCTCGTGTGCTGTTACGGGTATGAGGGCTGATATCACTTCCCGGTTGCCCACACCGTGGAAGGGTATTTCTTGGGGGACCTGAAAAGGAAATCGGATTAGTGTTGGTCTTAGCGACCTGAGTGCGTGACCGCAGAGCCCAAGGGACAACTGCTTGAGGCCGGTCGCGCACGGCCTTTTTGTGGGAGGTTTTTAATGTGTTAGCTCCGTTCTTCAAAGGGCCTTACCGCCGGAGACGGAAATCCGTGGGGTAAGGTGAGGTGTGACATTTTTAGGGTCAACCTTTTCTAACCCCTTCCTTCCTTGTGAGAAGGCAGCATCGCTGCAGATGCTGGTTGTCCGAGGGAAACACCTTACTGCTGTCACACCTCTGTACAGTCAGCAGTACGACTTCGCCCTCAGACCTTGAGTTGCTGCTTTTAGTCTTACCGTTCTCCAATCGACCTGCCTGGCATGGTAGAACCTGCAGGAACTTGAGTTCCAGCCAATATAGCTCGGTTGGGTCATCACGATAGGCAAGCCCGACCACCACGTCAAGGTAGCAGCTACGGTCGAGTTGGACACTTAAGAGTAAATCGAAGCTAGGATTAATTGTTAACAACGGAAAAACTATAAAACACAAGATGTGAGAAGAAAGACTCTTGGAAGATAAGGTGGACCTGAATCTTACTACTAGATACGCTTCTCAACTCTAAACATCATGAAAGATATAAGATTGGTGTTGACCTTACTGATAAAGGAGCACGACTGTAGAGCCAAAATGGTGGCTATAATGTAGTGGGTTACTGGCTAGACCTTCAACAACTAATCCAACTCCCGCAATCGAGTAGTGTTGTTAGCCCTCATACACAAAGTGTAGCTCAAAGCTGAATACGCGAACCTGAAGTCGATAAATAAATCACATCAAAAGCTGACAGCTGTTTAGGATCGGTATGGAGTTTATTACCCACTGGAATCAAAAAGGGGAATAATAGATATATTTGTATTATGTAAATATGTACGCGTTTAAATTAAATAAGTATGAAATATTAAGATCTTAAATGGTATAAATAATAAATATAAAATAAAGGATACTGAATTTTATGGATGTGTGGCTTGAAAATTTAATGATCATCTGTTGACAGGGCCTGATTTTCTACACTTAATTCAAATGATTCATACTTCTGTAGTTCATTGTTAAATTCAGCTAGCCATGAATCATACGCTTTCTATTGTATGTAGAAAAAAAACAACAAAGAAAACGAAAAATTAGGATCATGAAAATTTTCGGCGCATAGACCAGTCAGTCATACTCGGTATAGAGTCCGGCATAAATGTAAGTTAACCCAAGTCATCATAATTGTATTAGTAAGGACGGTGAGAAAGACTAAACACTGAGATTATTATCCGGGAAGGAATGGGAAATTATACATGTAATATATTTGCGCGCTAAGCTACTGGTACACAAATTTAATTTCAATACAGAAAACGAGACCATTACTACTCTCTCATTCCTTGTCCTGATAACTAGAGTAAAAATTTCAGTTTCGCGATCGAAGCTATGTGGATGGCTACCTTATTAGAATTAAAATACATTTAAGTTAGTCGGTTATAAATCGATAATAATTTATGAATTGAGCATTTGTCTCCAGACACAAATCATAGAAATAATCTATTAAAAGTTGACCTTAGATTCACCTTAAACTCACATTATATTGATATTGACTTTTTTCCTATAAGCTGTGCTTGGGGACTAACCATCCCTAACACTACGGAGGAAAACCGGATGAAGGGTGAATGCGTCTGAAATACTGTGACCAAGTATAAAACTTTCCACCAATTATCTCTGGCCACTAAGGTTATATTTATTTATTTGAACACATAAATATTGGTACAAAGGGGCACCGAATACATATACGCCACAAGTCACGTGATTTGTGTGTGGGCTGTGGTACTCCCCGTAGGTGGATCCTCCATATCCACCGACCCGGTTAAAGTGCCGGACATTCGGTTTTCATCCTCTCAATTTCGTAAGCAACAACCCGCCACGAGACGGCAGTGTGTAGGACTTGCCTGACAGTGGCTGTATACGCGTGGCCATGTAAGAGTGTAGTGAAAGAGAACACAGATGAGGACAACCGAATGTACTTGGACATAAAATTACAGTGTCTCACTAAAATCTGAGAACAGTAAATAGTTAATTTGCAAAATATCAATCAGCTGTTTTTAACTTGACTGTTCCTTTTGCAAATATTAGTTCATCGTCTCAGATTTCATTATTTGTGCATTTTCATACCAATTGCTTTCCGTTTCCGTTTTTTTCCTTCTCGATCCTCTACTGAAACGCATTCTATGTCCCACCATCGTTATATATTACTTATGTGAATATAAGTAGCTCACACCACAAAAGCATTTCGAGAGGGATAGCTGACTCTCCTCACCCTCGGCCGTACCAGGGCATTTGGAGGCTTGCCGGAGCGGACTCAAAGCAAGTGGCATGCATCTATCATGACCTTTTGATTGAGATCATGAATCGACTGATGTTAGACCACCGTCGGAAACCTGGAAGCACTGGACGGCCGTTTCGTCCTAGTATGGGACCCCTCAGCAGTGCGCATCCACGATCCCGCTCGCGGGAGTCGAACCCAGGGCCTTCAGTCTCGCGCGCGAACGCTTAACCAACTCGACCACTGAGCCGGCATCCAATGGTGTTAATGTCTAACATCAACCAATCCACGAAATTGCGCGACCATCTTCCATTGTACTGAGGTAAATACCTGTCTCTACCCGACACGGATTAGCTCCACTGGTCACGGCTTCTCACTATAACTCCGAAAATTCCCTCACGAAGCTAGTCACTAGTGAGCCCTGGGTTCGAATCCCGCGAGCGGGATCGTGGACATGCACTGCTGAGGAGTCCCATACTAGGACGAAACGGCCGTCCAGTGCTTCCAGGTTTTTAACGGTGGTCTAACATCAGTCGATTCATGATCTCAATCAAAAACTTAATAATCTCTACAGCCCCAATAATGATATCATGACTTTGTTCAACATTGATTGACACAATATCTTGGTTTGTTTGCTCCTAGTTTCCTTTCCGTTTGAGTTAGATGAATATCTCGCCCACGTCAAAAACGACATAAGTTCAAAAAAGATTGACTGAGCTTTCTGAGTCCGTGTCAAGATTGCGTAACATATCAATTTGTGACTTAATGACAATGAGGAAAGCCTTTACTACTGGGCTACCGCTCTACTGAATAGCTTAGTTCTACGTGTTTGTGCAATCAATTTTATGATTAATCATACAGTAGTACAAAACAAAATAGCATGAAAAATCTGCAAACCTGTCTTTCACTTTCAGACGCTTGTTTACGTCTCCGATTGCTGCTAGAAGTAGATTCTTTGCTCAAATCTGGAATTGAAAAATTAATAAATTAGCTAGAAGTTAACTTCGTATTATGTGGTTTGTGCAATACCTAGAACACTCATTTAGAGCACCAAGTGACCTAGGAACAATTAAGATGTTTGGAGTAAGTAGGTTGATTTACTTCATAATATAATAACAAAAGAGCTTAAATGATCCACTACATAACTTATTTGCAATGTTGAATACCGATTTTATCGATCCCACAATTTTCCAATGTATTAAAAAATACCGAGAAGCATGACGGCGTTAAACAAATTCCACCGACTGTGATTCGGCGATTGATCGGTAAACATAAATTAATAAGCACTTGCATTTAGCATTGGCAGTTTGAAAACTATAACAAAACACTTAAGTAAATCAATTTGAGTTAAAAGTGACTAAATAAAAACTTGCGTAGAGACCGAACCGAAAATATTGCACAACTTAGACTTAACAATTTAAAAGTATAAACCAAAGTGGCCTAATCATATATAGATTCCAAGGCATTCAAAAGTGTAGTAAAAAGTAGTAACTACAACCTAACCTTGAGAGGAGCTTTCGTTATTTGTCGTACCACAGTGTCGATTAGAAGAGGAAGATGAGTTATTTGGTAAATGGCTTTCCAAAATTTGACTGGAATCATCGTGACTATTTTCGTTTCTTTTAATTGAGGTATAATTTATCGGAGTTGCGATAAGTGGATGACATCCCATGGTCTGTAACTCAGTGTTAGCATTAGAGATTGCTGGAGTTGAGGCAATTTGCGGATTTAAAGAAGTCAGTTTTGTTTCGGAATATCTTGGAATAGATTCTTCTAAATTATGTATAGAAATACATTTCCTAAATTCAGGAGTGTTTGAGACGCTACTAGTGACCTGACAGGAATCACAGACTTTTTCATGAAAATTGGAAGGAACTGTTTCGCTTTCAGCATAAGTAGGAGCCTTTTTTGTGACTGAACAAGAGATTTTCAAACTTCCTGGACTAATTAGCCGGTTGGATTCAGGAAACGTTGAGGCAGACATAGGATTTACTGTCTTTGATACAAGTGGAACAGCTGTCACGATTGATCCAGGTGTGTTTGCATGTAGAGCGCCTTCATATCTAGCGTCATTAGATTTTCCTGAAGGGATATATTGCTTTGTGAATGCTGTTGATGCAGGCCACTGCTTTGACTTTGATTGTTTGGGGTTGGCCATCTTTACCCTAACATTTGGGTGCGTTTTTTTAATGTGCTTTTTGGTTTCATTTTTTGAACTGTTGGGAATAATATTTTCTTTATTATCATCACTATCGTTGTCTATAAAAAGATAAGGGTCTTCTGGAATAATTGGAGTTTGCTTTCCTTTATTAACCCGTCTACTTCCTGACACATTTTTACAGATCAATCGAGGAGTTTTAGGAATAATTGGACTAGCTTCAGCGATGTTATATTTGATCTTTCCAGAAACATTACCACTGGTAACATAAGGTTTCGATTTGACGTCATTACCTTTCTGCAAACATTTAAAAGTCTACAAAAAAAAATCGTGAGCCCTAATTAACTTAGTTTATACAGATATTACGCGTAATTACGATAACAGGCAGAAAAATATCCAATGTCTGAAACCGTGAAACCATTGGATAGTCAGTGACTTAATAGTAGTATATGCCAAAACTCCATTATATTGTTATATACTACTATCTCACTGAAAAATGATCGTGATTATGAGCAGTTTTTCAGTCTTGTCTTTTTGTTGAAGACAAGGGATGCAACAAGCAAGTAGACCCATGCGTAGGACGTCAGTCAGTAACATTGTGTCATTTCGTACCAATCACCCGATATTGAACTTCATATTTTGGCAGCCAACAAGTGATCATACCATATCAAAATTTAGTCTATGAAATTTATCACAATTCGGATGTGAAAGCTAGTCATTCTACTCAGATATCAGAACCAAGTTCAGATCCAAACTTTTAATTTAACAGTTGGGTCAATTGCATTGACTAAGAAAGCACTGACTGGGCCTCGTGTTTCAGAAAACCCTAGGTATGAATGAATACGATGCACTTGTAACATTCTTGGATATTTTGCTCTAGACAGAATTAAACAACAAAAGTAACATCTGCTAATTTTAATTCTATAGCAACTATTGTAGTTAACAACAATGTGCTTCCTAAAATGATCTAAACAAAAGTTCAAACTCCCCCCACCCAGATTACTTACGAAATTATTGAGATACTAATGCGATCGGCAGGAAAACGTATACTTGGCTAGATTCATCAGGAAGATGGATATCAGAAAATTTACGGCTTTTAGCATTCCGAAAAGTAAATTACCAGGAGGATAGTGCAATAGTTGTCGTACTTAGCAAAAAGCTCGAGAAAATACTAAGCCTCTATTTGTTAGGGATAGAAATTACGGAAATACGACAGCGTACGAGTATTTTGAGGCACTAGAGAATACACTTGTGGAAAAAATTGCCCTCAAGACGAACGGGCAAAGTTTAACTTGTCATAAATTTTACTAAACTCTAAAAATATTAAACAGATAATTTAAAAACCGTGATGAGTGTGTTGAACGAATGAAACTAGATTTGCAAGCTTGATTTGGTTGAGTGCAAATATGTACCTTTGGAAGTGTGAAAAGTTAAAATAAAAGAAATCGTTAGTTATCCAATACTTAGGGGGATCCCTAAAATTTCCCTAAAGCCGGTAAATACCTCAATCAACCAATAAAAGCGAAAAAGGGGAGACGTGCCAAAATGTTTGCTTTTCCGCCTGTCCAGGGGAAATAATGCGGATTTCCCCCTTGTTGTCTCTCCAATGTCGCTGAATTGTCTACTTTCCGCCTATCTTAAGATAAGGCACATGGAAATAATCGCGTATTTATATGCACAGTATGCTATCCAATGCCCTACCTAATACCGGTTTAATGGGGCTATCAGATGATACAGCTATTGACCTTATTTATAATAAAAACTAGATTAATTACCTTACTCGCTCTGCGAATGGACGATCGCAATCTCATAATGTATCAGAAAACAAAACCTAGCAGGCAAGTCACTTGTCATATTAGCGTGATGGATTTAAACAAGTAAAGCAGTTGTGGTTAAAACTCTCCATGCTAAAAAACTGTTTCGAAACGCTCTTTTCGCAAGGTGAATCGACCTTACTTATTTAATAAAGAGTCGGTTCACACCTGAGAAAATCAGATTAGACGTCTGATGAGACGAAACAAAATTTGTTGGAACGTTGCCGTCACTTTTGATGCAACAAATGAGATGGAGAGTTACACGTTATCGAAAATTACATTATAGGTACAACCCGTTAGTCTAAGAAAGCGTAACAGAATAAGAACTCACCTGTGGATTAGGTACTGGTGGGGGATGTCTACTATGAATCAAAGAGAAAGACCAGGAGAAACCAGAATGCAAGGCTAACTGTTTAGGGACACGTTTTGACTTACTAACTCCCTCTTGATGAAGGACTAGCTTCAGGAGTAGTTTTACTGTATTTGTTACTCAGTGTGGACCTCAACAAAGACGACGAACTTGTAGTGTCTAGTACTTATTCACAGAAATACGATTCATCCTGGATTTTGAACAGAACTTAACAACTCAAACAGCATGTCATATTGAATCATCTTTGTTTTCATAATAGCCCCATTATCCTGAGAGATCGTTACCTTCAACACATACACGACTTATTTTTGTATTCTTGTATATATACGTTCATGTGCTTTGTGTGTACTCGTGTTTGTCTACCACTCATTACTTTTTCAAATGTCGGTCTCTTTCACACATTACGCATCATCCATTTTGAGCTAATGTGACGCTTACGATGAGTAATATGGTGCGTTGCCATATTTGTCTACTCACGTCTGTTATTCCACTTCGTTTCTCTTATTATCTGCCTGAGAAAACCAGTGTATTAAATGTACATTTGATGAAAATTAATTCATTGATGTTGTTTGAGTTGGCTTCACTTAAACACTTGGTTTGGTTCCCCAAAATAAAATCTTACTGAGGGTTTAGAATAGACGGGGGATTCTGAACTGTTACCAAATTGAAACTAAAGCCCTTTTAGTAAGCCGTCGGTGAAAAGCAATGACAAATTTAAAGTTCTTTTATTATAAAATAATATTTCATAGAATAAAACACAGATTAGTTTTATGTCCTTTGTTTTTAGATGTATTATCTCGATAGACCACTCATATCGTACGGTCCCCAGTGCCAATTTACTCTAACGATATCAAAATTAGTTAGAAACAACACAGTCATTCATCAGGACGACACAGCAGTTCTGAATTTTGATGAATAACAATAGACGCAACCGAGTACATATACATACGCAATGAACGTAAATAATTATAGAATTGAAAGGGCGTCTATTCCTGCGTCGTGTTCCACAACAATACAGGGTAATGACGAGAAATGACCTTAAAAACATGGCTCATTTCTGTAAGGTTGCCTCTAACAACTCAGAACATTATAGGTATCAAGACGGGTATCTATATGGTCGGACAAAAACATGTTCACTATGGTATGCACAATCTTAGTGAGATCCAAGACGGGAAACTGAATTCGGAATGCAAGCAATTATTGAAAAGACGACTTGGATATCCTGGAAAAGTGCAAAATGCAGCCACCCGTGAAAATGAAATGCTGAGGATTACCATATATCGTATCGCATAAAACGTTAGAGCTTAATATTATATCTTCCTGTACACTAAGAGGTAATCGAATTTCACTGTATAGTCCTCCGAAATTGAGTGTAGACATGATATCTCCTGCCTCTTCCAACTAAATCAAAACGACTCAGAAAACATATCAGACGAATTCAAACAAAATATCTGTGGCATACAGAACTTCTCGCCAAGTAGCTGAAACATAACTCCACCTGAAGCTCTACTACAGCTACTGTATGCGAAGGTAAGGATGGGGTACAGCATGAGTTTAGCAACTCCACCAAGTAGGAAGCAATGTTGCTAAAAATACACTAGCACGAACTTATTTCAATCACTTGACTCCACCCCGAAATTTGGAGTGTCTTCATTTATGAAAGTTATGATGCCTCATGACGAAAGCCGAGATTTTTCAGAAGTCACAAGGCTTCTGTTCTTCTCAACAATCAGAGTAGTATTTAACATAAATGTATGTCCAAGCATTTTGTAAAACCTGAAGGACCGTTCAAGTAGCTTCAAATATGCGAAGATGCAACATAGTTGTGCCTGGAATTAGTGAAACGCATTGGATGCTATTTGGACAGAGAAAATTAACTTCGAAAGGGAGGTTGTTGTACTCTGATTACGAGATGGAGAATGCTTCACATACACAAGGAGTTACATTGATGATGTCCAAAAAGCGTGAAAAGCACTTGAAGAATGGAAATCTCACGGATCCAGGATCATCAAAGTATTCTTCAAAACGAAGAACCATTGAAATTACGATGAATTTTACCCCTTTCCATGAGCACCTCAATCATAGCAGTGGAGAAGATAAAGATCAGTTTGTAAGAGGCTGCAGTCAGCCGTAGTAAAGTGTTCAGAAAAGGGCTTGATAACCCTGATGAGAGACCTAAACACCAAGGTCGGAATCGACAATACTGGGTATGAAGATATCATGAGACGACGGGAACTGGGAGAAGGGGCTGAAAATAATGGAAGATTTCCATCAACTAAATGGTTATAAATGACACCATGTTTCCCCACAAATTCATGCACATGTCTGAATGGGTTCCACCGGATCATACTACAACAGACGAAATCTATCACGTTTACATCAATGAAGAGTTCAGAATGTCCATGAAGGATGTGAGAACAAAGAGAGGAGTCGATCACTACATGGTTGTGACCAAACCGAAATCGAAACTACAGAATCATTGTGATACTGGATAAACGGTAAAACAAGAGTTCAATATACCCTTTTATCGAGATAATAGCGAGATCATCGGACTCAAGATAGCTCTCAGCAATAGATTCGAAGTCATACAAGATCCACTTAGAGAGGAGTAAATCACTGTGGAAGACAAATGGGAAGGGGTCGAGGAATTACTAACTTCAACATACCAGGAGGTGTTTGGTCAAAAGAAGCACCAACTTGAAGAGTAGACCTCAAATGTTGCTTTACGAAATATCCAGCAATTAATAACAGTCGGTTAAAATTAGAAAAGTTCAAGGCATAGACTGAATACACAGAAGCCAAAAAGCGGGTGATGAGGATCACTAAAACTGACAAGCTTGAATGCTTGGAAGACCTAGCATCGACGCCAGAAAAATCTGAAATAGGAGGAGATATCGGTCACCTGTATGGCACAACGAAGAAATTAACAGGAAAGTGTACTAAACCATAGATATCAGTCAAGGGCAAAGAAGAAAAACCACTCACTGAGACACTAGCAGATAGGAACATATAGATAGACAACAATACACGGAATTGATACGACGGACTACACTGAAAAGTGGTGCATGAAGGACAGCTGACAGATGTATTTCAAGTGAAGAGAGATATTAGACGAGGCTTCTTACTATCTCCTTTTCTCTCTTTCTGGATTATGAAGACATCAACAACTCAGCGGAAGCATAGATAAAAATGGACAGCTTGAATGAAACTAGGCCATTCGGGCTTTGCAGATCACCCAGACCATCTAACACATACAAAGCAGAAAAATGAAGGTGAAGACATATAGTGTAGTGGTAGCGGCCTCTCTAGCAGTAAAAATCAACATACACAAGAGAAGAGCCAAGAACCTGAAACACTGTACACACTTGATGATGAAGACCTGAAGTAAGAAGAGGAGGGTACTTTCACGTGTATGGCCATCATCATTCACAAACCAGGATGATCTGATGCAGATTTGAAGGCAAGGATTGACCAACAAAGACCAGCATTTCTACAAGGGGAAAACTAATGGAACTCATAACAACTGTCAGACAGCATGATAATGAGAATTTTCAAAACGAACGTCAATGCAGTTCTATCGTACTGAACTGAAACTTCCAGAACTACTACAACCATCACCAAGTATTTGTAAATAGTCGTCTACACAAGGTGCTCGTGATCCATTGACTGCATTCCAATAGTAACAACCTATTGTTGGAAAGGAAACCAATGTCCAGATGAAGAGGAAATGAGGAAAGGATGGTGGATGTGTATAGAACATAAATTGAGGAAATCATCAAACTGTATGACAAAGCAATCGATAACTTGAAATCTTGAGTGGAAACGAAGAAGAGAGGTATGAGGGAACTCGAATTTTCTGTAATTTGAGACAGACATGGGAAGAAGCGATAACAACTGTAAACAACTTGAAAATGTTTATCCTGGACAGAGTTGAATGTTGGTCGGCGTCCTATTCTCCATAATGGGTTATAAGTGTGAGTATGTAAATTAGTAACATTAGCTGTCAATTGTAATGTTAAGGTATATAGTGGTTGATGAAAACTGAAGTGATAATGAATCACTAGTCACTCTTTGGATCTTGAATATTTTTAAGCTACAATTCTTGTCTCGTCAAGTAAACACAAAAATAACTACACCACACTTGAAACCCTTAACTTGTACCAATCGTTTCCATCAATTGATTATTACAAAAAGGTCAAGAGCTTCGAGAATGAAAAAGAAGCTGTACAAAGAAACATTTATATTTTTTGACATATTTCTCTCAATAAAACTGAAATAAGGGAGAAGTTTTGTAGCTTAAAATAATGATTCATTATATGTGAAAATCATATTTGAAATAATCTGAGAGATTGAAATTTAAATGATTCCGACGTTTCGTCCAGCAAACTTGTCCGTACTTCTTCGGGGTAATAATGGAAATCAAGATTATCCAAAAATATATAGCGTTGTAACAATCAAATCAAATCTATACCATGTTAATCCAATCATATTTCGACGTTGATTTTTGTAAAATAGGATAACATGAGTCAGTTAAATGTGGATCATGCGTGAAGTTCACGATGTGAAATTAAATGACTGAAACGAATTGTCGGCGTGTGTAAGTGTGTATATGTAAGACTGAGTTATTAATGAATGATATTCGGTATTAATGTTTTTATATGAAGGAATAATAAAAGTACAAGTTGAAGGTTGAAAAATTGTTTCTGAATCATTGACGTGCAAGTAAAATTAGAATCATCAAATACA